AAATAAATTTATTTTGAAAAAGTCTTATATGTTGATTGTGTCCTCGATTTTATTAGTGTCTCTTCGTTAAATAGCTTACGACTAATAACGACCTTGTATTTAAAGTTAGGCATGAACAGTTATTGATAATTATCTCTTTGTTTTCTTTAGACACGTTACTTTTTCGTAGTCGGCTAATTACAAGACTAAACGCATTGTTTCATTTAAATCTTACTACTTTATCAAGCTTGGTTGGTTTATAAAATAAAAAATATCGTTTCATTTAAATATCATTGTTTCATTGAAACTTGATTGGTTATAAGACTAAATACACCATTTCATTTATGTCTTAATGTTTCATCGAAGTTTAGTCGGTTATAAGACCAAACACACCTTTTCATTTAGGTCTTACTCGTTTCATCGAAGAGGATATTATACTTGATCGACGTATGACTTTTCAAATTTTGAGGTGCCAATAAGGTCCCTTGTCAACCATTTCTTCTCTTTCTTTTCTCGCTTTCTATTGCCAAAATAGCACTTCGTTCTTTTACCAAAATCTTGTGAACTAAAACTAAAACCCAAACCTCTCTCTCCCTTTTACCTCAATAATTTAGTAATTCTACCTCCGTATATGGCAAACACACCAAAGGATAAAATTGTCATTTAATTATACAATAGGTAATTTTTGTATAATCGATAATGACTTGTGTTTATTATCTTTTTTTCTTTTGTCCATTGATGAATTTATGTGAAAAATAACTTATTTCATTATTATCGATTTTTTTTAGATGATTTTGCTTGAAAAATGATTTGTGTTGTCGTTATCTCGCTTGTTTTTCTTCCCTAAAAAATTTATATGAAAACTTGACTTCTTTCTTTATCAATCTATTTTCTTTAACGATTTTATAGCATCTCAACTTATGTTTTTTTATTTGATTTTCCCATTAATGGATTTTGTGAAATGTGATTTGATTTGTCATTTTTAACTTAATTCGTGATATTGTTGTCGGCTCGCTTGATTTTTAAAAAAATGATCTTTGCGATATCACTCGTTAATTTGTAATATTGTCAATCATTTGATTCATGATATCATTATTAGTTTGCTAGATTTTACAAAAAATAATCTTTGCGATGCCATTGTCGACTTGTAATGTTGTCAATTTTAATTTTAGATGCCTTTGTCGGTTTTCTTTATTTTACAAAAAATAATCTTTGCGATATCATTATCGGTTTGCAATATTTTTAATCTTGATTCATAATGTTGTTATCGGTTCATTTGATTTTTTTGAAAATAATTTTGTAAGGTTGTTGTCGGTTCATAATGTTGTCAATTCTTTACTTCCTAATATTGTTTTTGGTTTGCTTAATTTTACAAAATGTGATCTTTATAGTGCCTTATTGGTTTGCAATGTTGTTGATCATTTGATTTTTAATACTATTGTCGTTTCGCTTGATTTTATGAAAATTAATCTTTTTGAGGCTATTTATATTTTATATATTTTTTGTATTTTATCTAAGTTTTTTAATAGTTGATTTCAAAATAAAGTAAAATGGAATAAAATAAAAATAAACTAAGACACAAATAAAAAAAATGGAAAATTTTTTCATAAGGCAATAATGAATTATGATTTTCCTTAATGGGGAGCTAAATGAAGAAATCTAGATGGAATAGCTTGTAGGTATCATTATTGAAGGTCAAGAGTGCAAAGTTTGCAAGCTTCATAGATTTATATATGGCCCGAAACAATCATTTAGATAATGGTACCTTCATTTTCATAAGGCAATAATGAATTATGATTTTAAAATGATTGAGGAAGGCCATTGTGTTTATGTTAAAAGAACTAAAGAGAGATTTTCAATTTTATCTTTATATGTTGATGATATTTTGATAGCTGAAAATGATAAAAGTTTTGTCATGTCTATCAAGGTGTGGTTCTTCATAAATTTTGACATGAAAGACATAGGTGAGAGAAATTATATTTTAAGAATCAAGATCATTAGAGATTACTCAAAAAAACTTTCTAGCTCTTTCATAAGAGCATCATATCCAAAAAGTTTTAGAACGCTTCTATATAGGTAATTTTAAGTTCGTGGACACCCCCGTGTCAAAAAGCAAGGCTTTAAGTCATAAAATATATCTTAAAACTCCACAAGACTAAGAAAAAAAGTCGAAAGTTTCATATTCAAGTGCAATTAGAAGTTTTGTATATGCAATGATGTGTACTTGCTTGGATATATGTTTTCGTTGTTAATTTGGTTAGCTGGTCTTAGTTGAATCTTAGTCGAGAGCATTAAAATGTTATGAAAAGGATACTAAGATATCTTAAAGACACTGTGGATTATTATTTATGTTATGAAGAGAAAAAATTACATCTAACTAAGTATTTAGATGCTAATTGGAGAGAAGACCTTGATGAATATAAATCCACTTTTAGTTTTACTTTTATACGCAACAATGATAATATATCTTGGAGTAGTAAGAAACAAACCTAAATAGCTTTATCTACTATGGAGATCGAATTTATAGCTTGCTTAGTCGCTGTGCAAGAAACAGTTTAGTTAAAGATATTCCTTAAAGATTTGGAAGTTAATAGTAATAGTTTAGGGCTTGTTACGATCTATTGTGACAACAATACAGACTTTTGCTTACACTAAGGATCCCAAGTACCATAAGTAGAACAAAACATATTTATATCGAATATAACTATGTTAGAGACATTATCAAAAAGAGAGAAGTATCGGTATAATATATATCTACACATCAAATGATAGAAAATTCGTTTACAAAACTCATACTAAGAGATATGTATTTTGAACATATTAAATCTCTTGGAATGCATAGATTATAAATTTATCATAATAATGGATAGTCGAGCTTTGTATGTTGTGCTACTTTTAAAAAAAAATACAATTTGGTGTTTTACCATATATATATATATATATATATATAGTATGCATGTTACTATGTTAAAACTCGGCTTTAAAAGTCATATAGGCTTAGTTGGCTCTCTCACATGAGTAATCGCCTCTAATGCTAATGAAAGAGATAAGATAAAAGTCCTTTATCGCTATTGAGAGTGAGTAGAGTGAAGATAATATTGAGAAAGTGTCATTTTAAGGTAAAATTAAGATAAGATTGTAAACCAATATACTCCTTACAATCAATTTAGAAAGCCCAATTCAAATAACTTATGATAGCCATATTTGAGATCTCGATGATAATACTTATTGAGAGAAAACACCTCGAGAGCTTAGGTTAGTCTCTTGTGTTTGACGACCGAACTAAAATCTATACGAGTATGTATAAGATGTGACTACCAAGAATTCCGTAGCACATGATTCATACCACATGTGCTAATTAGACTATAAAAGACAAGTGGGAGAATGAATCCCTACTTCTCCACTATTTGAGATCTTTAGAGGAACAATAATATCCTCTAACTAATACTCTTATCACTTTTTATTACTATTCAAGGTTTAGACTTGGTGTTTGTTATCTTAGCTAGTTACTTATGATCATGTATGATTCGATTTATAGAACTATTCTAGAAAAGCAATCAAGTTTTAAATTAAGAATTTTGAGTAAGAAAGGAAGACGTGTTTGGTCTATTTATTGGTCAAACAATCATGTCGCTTGAAAGAAGCATCCTTCGAGAGTACCATGGACATGATGATGGATATGTAATATGAAATCGGACTATATGTCGATTGAGAGATTTGATATAATGAGAAATTAAATACAAAGAACTATCTAAGGTATTACGAGATTGGTGATATATTATATCTCGTATATCATTTATTAATTTTAGGTGGTAGCTACTATATATTGTTAACGGATGTATAGTAATAAGCTTCCAAAATGTAGGAATGCTCGCTAGGTAGCACGATCCACTTGTCGGTATAAAGATGTACTTTTTTGGTTTACTATTGATATTGTAGAAAGCCTCACATGCAGTCTAGCCCATCATGTGCGAATGAGAGAAGTTAAAAAAATGGGTTTGGGTCGGGTCGTTCATGATAGGTTGACTCGACAAAAAAATTATTTAAAATAAAAATAATAAAAGAAAAGAAAAGAGAAACGATTGACATAAAGTTATAAGAGAAGTTATTTCCTCAACTTATATAGAGGAAAAGAGATAAGGATAAGAACAATAATTATGACAAAAAAAAAAGAAAAAAAAGAAGAGAAAACTCTCTATAAAAGATCTTTTTGTAAACTCTCTACAAAATAGGATAAACAAAAGAAAATAGATTATCTTGACACTTAGATTATGAATAATAGATAGTAATTTAATATTACCAACTTGATCTAATAAAACTATTTATAGGTAAGATTTCGATCCTAGACTTATTTATTTATATTTGTAATTTTATTACATAAACAAATCATGTGATATGCTTTCGTTAGTTTTGATGGTAAAAATCTTATGGAAGTGTAGATTGAAGACACAATAATGTTTTAAAGATATATTGAATACGATTAAAAATTTATGGATAGATTTGATACAATTCTTCAAATATAAGGGTATATTGAGTCATTTTCTCTTAATTTGTAACCCAAAGTTCTCCTTATAATATGATAAGTCCCAATCAATAAAAAGCCCAAATTATATTATTAGTGATAATAAATAAATAATAAGAAAAATAGTATAACATGTCCTTATATTATGACTAGAGTTTTTAATACGTTTTTATATCCTAAAATAAGTCAGTTATATCCATGTTATTTAAGTGAGTTTTCAATCTATCATTCAAACCACTAGAAAATCTCATGTGACTTACACATGATCCTTTTTTTCTAAACAAAAATGCCCTCATGTCATTTTTTTCTTTTTTCTTTCTTTTTATTTTTCTTCCTCTTCCTCTTCTCTCTGCCATGGCCGCCACCTTCTTCTTCCTCCTTTTTCCTGCCCAATTGCCTTTAACCCATAGCAACCTCTCTCTCTCTCTCTCTCTCCCCCCCCCTTCCCGCCCTCCCCCTCCCCCTCTCTTCTTCTAGCTAAGGAGTTATAGTTGAAATTATGTGTGGAGGCCATTCTATATTTGCTATAGGGCATGATACAGTTGTTTGCTTACTGGATACTATAAATGTCATGGGAGGTTCTAATTAAAAAAAATGTCAATTGAACTGATTGATCAATTGAAATAAACAAAGTAGGCGATAAATTGCTTACTCAAGATTGATGTTCAGTGGCAAATCCTTTTAAGACAAGACTTTTATTCTCATCCCGTGCTAGTGCAATAGTACCACTTGTTTTGCTTGAGGTTTAAAGTTGAACCACATATGGTGGTGGAGGAGGAGGAGGAAGAAAGTGGTAGCCATAGTGTAGAGAAGAGGAAGACGAAGAAAAAGAAAACAAAAGAAAAAAAAGTGAGTTGAAGGGTATTTTTATAAAAAAATCATGTGTAAGTCACGTGATATTTTCAAATGATTTAATCCAAAAAATAACCATAAAACATATTGAAAACTCACATAAATAACATATATATATATATATATATATGATTCATTTTAAAACATAGAAAACAGATTAAAAATTCATGCTATTATATGTGGATAAATAAGTCTTTTTACTTAAATAATACTATAAATATTAATACTGAGTGTCGTGTTTCTAACTCCAAAGCTTCTCTATCTAATCTTCTTCCTTGATTGTGGTTGTCGTCTGTCGTCGATGGAAAAACAGACGGTGAAAATCTTAAAGCTTATATCAGACTACGCTGTCGTTTCAATTCTGGAATTCTCTCAATTTTGAACTTCGATAGGCATAACGTTGAAGGAAGGTAACGAAAAACCCTAATTAGAAGCAAATTGTATGCTCTTCGATTTCGTCAGACTAAGTTCTTCTTCTTCTTTTCGTGTTAAGGGATTGAATTGTTATGCTAATTTCTGTTGTTGATTTAATTAATTGTCGTAATTTTCTTTAGCTGCTGTGTTGTTGGGTCTTTGTTTATTAGTTTCTGTTTGTATTGAATTGCAGTGCAATCACTTTTTATGGTGTAGCGAATGGCGAGTTTTGAAGGAAAAGTTCAATTTTCTTCTCTTTCTAAGGTAGAAAAGGATAAGAATTCATACCCCAATGTTGGGGACTATGATGATCCCTTATGGCCTGTGCGGAAAGGTGTGAATAATAATGAAATAGTTGCGAAATCCTCGAAAGAAGAGTATGTTACTTTCGACTTTCCGTTTGATTCCCAAGATTACCTTGATGGTTCAACTGATGATCCTTGTATTTCTGCAAATTTCAATAGGCCTCCAGAGGTCAACTTGAAAAACGTGTTAAGTGGGATAGTTGCGATTATAACTGGGCAGAATAAAGACCCTGGTGGTTGTGCTTCTGTAAATAAAGAAGTGCCCAGTTCAAATGTTTCCTTTCTGGGATCGGGAAAGAATGGGGACACGTATTTGCACTCCTCCGTATATATTCCGAGTGCCCCACCACTTCTCGAGCCAAATGGGTTTAATTATACCGTGTACAAAGAGGTGTTGGAAGCCGAACCACCTGAGTGGTTGCCGGATAGTTCTACTACAGTTTGTATGCAGTGTACTGCTCTCTTTACAGCGGTTACTCGTGGGAGGCATCATTGTCGTTTTTGTGGTGGGGTTTTTTGCAGAACATGTACTAAAGGACGGTGTTTGCTACCAGTTAAATTTAGGGAGAGGAATCCACAGAGGGTTTGTGATGCCTGCTATGATAGGCTTGATCCTTTACAAGGTGTTCTTATTAATAGCATTAGCAATGCTATGCAAGTGGCAAAACATGATGTTATGGATTGGACGTGCACTAGAGGATGGTTGAACCTGCCAGTTGGTTTGTCCATGGAACATGAGATATACAAAGCATCCAATACACTAAGAAGCTATTGGCAGGTGTGTTTACTGCTTGTTTCAAAGTTCTTTTTTTTTTTTTTTTATAGATGTGCAGCCAGATTCTCGATCGCATGAGTTATATTTTAATCACTAATTGCATGACAACCCTAGATTTGGCGGTAGGGTTATATTTCCCTGTTGGCAGTGTCTTATTATGCAATTCTAACTAGCAGAGGAAGATTCAGCCTTGTATTTTATGTTTTTCTGTTGACATTATCTTATCATGTATTGCCAACTAGCCAAAAAAGTTGGTTATTCAATTACACTTGTTCATTGTTCTTCTTCTTTGAGGAACCAGTTGTGCCTATGCCTTATGTCTGCAACTTGATCATAGCTTTTTATAATGGTCAGGTTTCTAGGCTGAATCCTGAGAAGTCCATACCCTTAGCAGTTCTGAAAGGAGCCAAAGGCTTGGCAATCTTAACAGTTGTCAAAGCTGGTGCAATAGTTGCTTACAAACTTGGCACTGGTTTAGTCATTGCTCGGAGATCAGATGGATCATGGTCTGCCCCATCTGCAATATGCTCAATTGGTTTAGGATGGGGTGCTCAGGTAAACTTTTCAACGAATTAGGGTTTATATTTGAAAATGCAACAGAAGCAGAAAAATTCCAAGAGATGCTGGTGTTGGGAGCAAGAAAATTGTCTCTTACATTTTCTATAATAAGTTTGTTATTTTTCTTTTTTGAATGATGCTGAAATTTTATTCTTGTCACTACCATTAATGTATCTGTCTTCTCTCCTTGATTCCCAGATTGGGGGTGAGCTCATGGACTACGTAATTGTCCTCCATGATCACAAAGCTGTGAAGACATTTTGCAGTCGCATGCACTTTTCTCTTGGGGCGGGTTGCAGTGCTGCAGCAGGCCCTGTTGGGAGGGTGTTGGAAGCAGATCTCCGTGCTGGTGATAGAGGATCTGGCATGTGCTATACTTACAGCTGCAGCAAAGGTATTTTTGAGATGGCTTTTGTGTTCTGACCTTGAGAATTTTAGGAAGCATTAACTTCTATCTTATGTCCAAAAGCCTTTTGGCTGGCACTAAAACTAAGGATTGAAGCTAGATATCATTTAGTGGTACCTCTTTCATACTTTTGCGAGGAGAAGATCTTAGCTTTTAAACCACTGTTTGCCAATAGTTGATGAATGTTTGAAATGTTGATAAATATATGAAATTTCCAGTCTGCATTTTCAAATTGATGAATGTTGTTTTGGATGTGACATTAATCTTTAGGGCGGAACTCTCTCGGGTTGAAGTCCCATGGAGACTGAATTCATTTTTTAGGATGGAGCTAAATATATTAAATATTCATCATGTGGGAAGGGGACATATTTACTTCTAATGCCCCTGGCCTCATGGATGTATAGCTTCCTAGAATTATGCTTCATCCATTGTTGCCCATTTGTATTACATAAAACCTCCTCTAGTGACTGCACTAGGGAAATTATATACTGTGTTCAGATACCGTAGAAATTGGTTCTGGCATATGTCTAGTATTTGGCTGCTCTCCTATTCTGCATGGTGTTGGCAATTATTTTGGTCTTTGCTCTAAAGTTTATGCTGCCGCTTGACATGTATCAGGGGCATTTGTGGGAGTGTCACTTGAAGGAAACATTGTAGCAACGAGGATGGATACAAATCTAAAGTTCTATGGTGATCCTTATCTCACTCCTGCTGACATTCTTCTAGGGACTGTGGACAGACCTAAAGCTGCAGAACCTCTATATGCTGCTCTTGGAGAACTGTACTCAAGTCTACGGCATTAGTACTAGTGCCAGTCCTCCTTTCATGTAGAATCTCTCTGCATGCGAAACCTTGTCTCTACGGAATAGGATGATCCTCGGATGAGAGACGTGCACTGGGCCCTAAGCTTAATTCACCATCTTTGAATTGTAAAATTGTTTCCAGTGTACAGGACCGATTCATGTGATGGACGACAAGTTCCAATGTTGATAGTTTTAAATTTTCATTCAGTTGTGTTGAAACTACAAGAATCTTGTAAATATATACAATTCCATAGTGATTGTTTGTGTATAGACAATTTAAAATCATTTAGAATGTTTGCCCTGAGGAGTAGCCTTCCGGTTATTATTCCTTGCTACTGATTCTACTAAACCCTCCTTCAGTGTCATGGTTGGTTGGTTACTGGTGATGGAATGACCCTCTAGGCTGGTTTCCTGTGGTAAACTTGTGTATAGGACAGAGCCTAAGATCCTATATGTTCAGCTTCTGGAGCACCCGATTGGAGGGCCGAGAATGCCTTATTCTCATGACCAACTGCCAATAACATAAAAAGAAGTCCGCGTTTTTTTTTTTTTTTTGGTAAGAAAGCTATATCAGGTACTTTTCGCCGAAAAAGAATTCAGCGTATAGATTTAGAAAGCTTTCCTGAAAGTTTCCAATTCGTGGAAGGGAGAATGGAAACCACCTCAGCTTTAGAAAAAAAGGTCGATTCCCCTGCTTTCCCTATGGTTTTTTCCCTTCATTGGTCTATTTCATTGCCATGTGGTTTTTGTTCTTATTTGATGGCCAGGATGGACTCTAGTGCCCAAAATAAATACCCTGATTTCAGGTTATTAATTGCTAAGGATGGGGAGGTTATCAAGAGGACTTTTAAGCAAAAGAAAGATAGATTAGTTTTATCCCTTAAACTTCGGTAGCAAGTTACCAAGATAGCTAGTTATGGCTTCTACAAGGTAGCAACAGATCACTGCGCTGTACCCACTTTTGCTAACCACAGACATCGAAAAAAGAGACAAAGGGTGAAAATGAAATTTTAGAAGAAAGCGAAACATGGGAAACAAGATGGGTGTTTCGCTGTCCTCCTACCGTAGAGAATACAAGAAAAAAACAGAAATATTGGGATTAAAGGGGGTTTCCGAGCTTGCTGACAACAAATATGTTGCTGATGATGTATTCTTGACACCTAGGGCATATAACAGTGACACTGAAGATGAAGAAAACAAATATGATGATGGGGAATTTCACAAGGTTGGAGAGTGTTCTGATTCTGGAACCGATAGTCCAGACTTTGTTTGCGAAATCTGCATAGAGCGAAGGGACTTGTATGACTCATTCAGTCTCAAAGGTTGCGCACACTTTTATTGTATTGAATGCATCATCAGATATGTAGCTTCCATACTTGATGACAATCGTGCAGTAATTTCGTGTCCAGCGTCAGATTGCCCAGGAGTTTTAGAGCCTGAATACTGCCGCGTGATCCTACCAAAAGAGGTGTTTGATAGGTGGGGTATTGCTCTATGTGAGTCCGTGATTGATGTTTCCAAGAAATTGTACTGTCCTTATATGGATTGCTCAGCCTTGCTGGTAAATGATACAGGAGGGGAGATTGAGCGATCTTATTGTCCTTTCTGCAAAAGAGCTTTTTGTGTCAGGTGTATGGTTCCTTGGCATTCAGATATTAGCTGCAGAAAGTTTCAGAAATTGAAGAAGAAAGGTGAAGATGTTATGTTGAAGGAGCTTGCCAAGAGGAAAAAGTGGAGGAGGTGTCCAAAGTGCAAGTACTATGTTGAAAAATCAATGGGTTGCTTTCGTATGAAGTGCAGGTATGTTTTGTCTTCTGTTTCTCCTTCACTACTGAAAATGGTCTCGAAAATTCTTGGTATTATTACTTCATTATTACTCCTCTTTTAGGTTTATATATATATATATATATTGGTTTTGGTTTTTTGTATAGGTTATTGGTCTACCAATCATGTCATTATTCTTCTCGTGTGACTATGCGTTGAGCATGTAGCATATTGACTAGTTGATGAAGCTCATAGGTTTGTCATTAGTTTGACTATGCTGGTGATGTGATTAGAATTGAAATTTGGTAATTATGTCTTTGAACTTTGGTTGCTAAGAGTATCTTTACTCTCATGAAAATCACTCAGTCCTTTAGAATCTCACCAACTAATTATTTAAACCGAAAGACAAGTTGTTGAGAAAGCTCAGTCTTCTCAAGTTAATTCCTGCTCTCTTTTATTTTCTACAAAAAACTTGACTTCGAATCAAGGTAGGTCTGACTTGGTAATCTGCAAATTTGAAGGTAAAGACAATGTCTTTACAAATCATCTGTTTCTTGTTTTTTTGCAATTCAGAACTATTTGAAAGATACTATATTTTCAACAAATTGAGAGTTGATACCATCACTACCACTCTTAACTTTTCAACATTCTTAATAAATTAGCACATAAAATTTTCATTAACCAAGATCTTATGTGTTTTTACCCTTTTTTTTTTTTTTTTTTGGTAATGATACAGAATACTTGTTCAATTATTTTGGTGGAGATTAGCTAAAAGGTTCTCTCGTTTTATTGTTATTGATTTGTTTTCCCTCTTTATTTAATCTGCTGTAGAAGATCTGCACATAAAGTCCATAACCCCCCTGATAAAATTCACTCGTTAGGATTTTCTTTTCTCTATTTGGAAATTATGCATTGATTGATACCTTAAATTAGTATTGTTTAGTTTTGGTTGAACAAACTAGTTGATTTACAGTTCATATATTTCTATGGTTATGATGTGGTGGCATCTGGCTGCAGTATACATCATCACCACATTTACTGATAGGTTCTGAACATTTAATGAATCGGCCACCGTTGAGGTGTTTTTCCTATTTAGGAGGAATGATAGTCTTGTAACTTCTACTACATGTGAAGCTTTCTGTCTTCAGCAAACTATCATGATTTAGCTCTTAATGTGTGAATGAGTTCTGAGTTCAATGTCAGTCTCAACCTCAAAATTTTCGTAATTGGCAATCTTCTTTGGTTCATATTGGTCCACACTTGTTGACGGTGTGTTTTTTTCTTTATGACGAGTAACTGCGATCCCACACTTCAAGCGCAGATCAGATAACCCTGTATAGGCACATAGGCGATTTGGTGTGACTGTCAGCCATAGTTTTAAATCGCCGACGATTGAAAAAACGATCGCAGATCGCAACTTACTATAATACTAAAATAGTGATAACGGAATGCTTAAAAACCATTATATAACAACCGTTATATAATGTAACGGCTATTATTTAAAACTATGGGGGTGTCAGCAAGTCTGGCAGGTGAGCTGCAAGGATGGTGATTAGGGGAGCTTGAACTGTGTGGTATCACAAGTTTTTACTTCCCCCTTGACCACTGTGCCACCCTTGCGGGCTTAAACACTACCTCTTGCCTCATCTAACCATGTTTTATTCTATGCACTAATCTTCCTTTTATTATGTGCTTTCATTTTTTGATTACAGATGTGGACATTCTTTCTGTTACAATTGCGGTGCTTCTGCAAGTACTACTTCCCATGTTTGCTCTAGGTGTAAGCGTTGAGCTTTTGCAGAATATGCCCATTGCAAATCCACAGTCCAAACTCCATTCGATGGTGGAGTTCATCTAATGTGCGTGCTGACCGTAATTATGCTGGCAGTTTCGATTTTTAAATCATCGCTTTATCATTCTTGTTGAAATGCTGTAATGACTGTAGGGGGAATTTGAAAGGTAAAAGGGATTAATTAGAGTTAAATCGGCAGCCATAATTTACAAATCTAGTTCAAGTGATTTAGGTTGGCACATGAAAAAAAGGTGTAGAATGAAGGAGAGACTGAGGCCTGGTCAATGCTCATCATCTATGTTGTGTTTCCTCTGCAGCAAATCATAAGAGAACAAAGGAATTCGAAAGCAAACAAGCTACAAGGAATTCTCCAGGCTTGAAGTTGAATGTAAAAAATTGACTCCGACTATGACCTACATTACCTGCATACAACATTATTGGTAAAAAAAAAACTACTCGTTGTGTTCATGGATTTTGCATCACTGTTTCTTTGGAGGAAAGAAAAAGAAGAAGGCATATTTAAATAATTTTCATATGAAGTGAAATTTTAATTTAAACCTTTACTTTAACCAAGGGAAAAAAAAAGGGGAAATATTCATGAAATTCTGACCAAGTCAGCTAGAAGCTTTTTTCACAAGAACTCAAGAAGAATGACCCATAATTCACCACCCTCATTTTTTTTATTCATCCCAACCTTTAGAACTTCCTTTCTTATTGACTCCTCAGTTTATTATTATTATTAATTTGTTCATTATTATTATTAGTAGTTTGTCCTGCTTTCACTTCAATTTCTTATCCACAAAATAATAATTACACCTGCATCATTGAAAACCAAAAATCAAGAAAAAGAAGAAGAAGAAGAGTATAAGTCAATATCAAGGAATGAATTTCTAAGCAAAACGTAATAATGGATGACTTGATAAATCCAACAGAACATGGGGGATATCCCTGTTACTAATTATCTCGAATTAATACGAATTATATACCCAAAAAAAAAAAAATTATAGGAAAAAAATGAGTAAAATATAAATTAGTCCCTCTTTCTTCAAGGAACAAATTAATCAGTCCTCCGGATTTAAAAAAATAATTATTTGGTTCTTTTTATTATTTTTTAATTTAATTTATTTTTTATTTAAGAAATAAAAAAATAAAAAGTGAGTAAAAATATAAAAATATTGATGGGAAAAGAAGATATTTCATAAACGAAAAAAATATTAATTAAGTTAGTGGTCACACCACTCCAATGATTAAAAAGACTAAGTAATTATGTTTTAAAAATAAAAAAATTAATTAATTTGTTAAAAAAAAGAGGGATTAATTTATAATTTACTAGAGAGAAAATGCAAAAATAAAAAATAAAAAAAGTCTTAGAATTTCAAATTCCAAGGGATTAGTCTATTAATTAAAAAGTTTGGTTTCCTCGTTAATCGTGTAGATTCTTCAAAACTTTCAATTAAAGTGTATCTTCTTTTCTTTAATTTTGTAAGTTCAAACTTGAGGTATAGATTAATTTAAAAATTATTGTGAAAAAATAAAAGATATATGAGAATTTAAAGGAATGATGACAAGAAGAAGAATTCATTATAAAGTGAATACAAGTGAGAAAACTTCAAGTTGTTCTCTTAATCTCTCTAAGAACTTGTACATCAACAAATGAATAATCAAGTCTATTTATAGACCTCAAAATTGAGATGAGAATTGGAAGGGATTATGAATAATTAAAAGTATATCAATTGCATCACCCTTTTAATTTCTCAAATTGAATGGTGAATTGAATCACATTTAGGATCATGAGTAGTGGGGATATGAAAAGTAGATGAACATTCATTATTTTATAACACTCCCCATTGAATGTCCATTGTACAAGGAATATGCCTCGTTAAAACCTTACTAGGAAAAAACCCAGTGGGAAAAAAAATCTTTGTGAAGGAAAAAGAGTACATTATTCCTTGCACACATTAATACCTATTTTGGTCTTCCCTCGTTGAAGATATTATTTAAGATCTCTAAAACGACGCATTTCAATCTTGTGAATCATCTTCTCAAAAGTTATGGTAGGTAATGCCTTAGTGAACAAATCTGTTGGATTGTCACTTGAACGAATTTGTTGAACATTAATATCACCATTTCGTCGAAGATCATGTGTGAAAAATAATTTTGATGATATATGTTTCGTTCGTCACCTTTGATCTATCCTTTCTTTAATTGAGCTATACGAGCAGTATTGTCTTTATACAAGACTCGTTGGAACTTCCTTGCTAGTGGATAAACCGCATGTCTTTTGAATATGATGGGTAATTGATCTTAACCAAATATATTCTCGACTTGCCTCATGAATCGCTAGTATTTCGCATGGTTTGAAGATGTGGCAGCTATAGTTTGCTTCATAGAATGCCATGATATAGTTGTATCTCCATATGTAAATACATAACCGAGTTTGAGATCGAGCTTTATGTGGATCGGATAAATAACTCCGCATCCGCATAACTAATTAATCCATTCTTTGATTTGTTAGAGTAATACAAGCCCATATCACTTGTTCCTCGAAGATAACGTAATATATGTTTAATTCCATTCCAATGTCTCGTGTTGGAGCATAACTATATCTTGCTAATAAATTTACGGAAAATGCTATATCATATCGGGTATTATTAGCAAGATACATTAATGCACCAATTGCACTAAGGTATGGTACTTTAGGACCAAGAAGTTCTTCGTTATCTTTTCAAGGTCGAAAAGGGTCCTTTTGAACATCAAGTGAACGAACTACCATTGGACTAGTCAATGGATGAGCTTTATCCATGTAGAATCTTTGTAGTACTTTTTCTATATATGTTGACTAATGAATAAAAATTTCATCTTTTAAGTGTTCGAACTGTAGGCCGAGATAAAATTTTGTTTTTCCAAGATCTTTCATATCAAGTTCTTCTTTTAAATAATTTATGGCACTTAAAATCTCTTCGGGAGTTCCAATTATATTTAAATCATCAACATATACAAGCAATTATCACAAAACCCTTTTCGAATTTCTTTATAAAGACACATGGACAAATTATGTTATTTTTATAACCTTCTTTTAATAAATAATCACTAAGACGATTATACCACATGCGTCCGGATTATTTCAATCCATACGAGAGATCTTTGTAATTTAATCGAATACATCTCTCGAGAATGTATTTTACATGCTTCGAGCATTTTAAGTCCTTCTAGGACTTTCATATAGATATCATTATCAAGTGACCCATATAAATAGGTCGTTATTACATCCATTAAATGCATATGAAGTTTTTCACGTGATGTCAAGCTAATAAGATAGCGAAATGTAATTGCATCCATTACAGGAGAATATGTCTTTTCATAGTCAATGCCGAGTCTTTGTGAAAACCCTTGCGCTACAAGTCTTGCTTTATATCTCATAATTTCATCTTTTTCATTTCGTTTTTGCACAAATACCCATTTGTATCCTATTGGCTTAACATCTTTAGGTGTTTTAACTATGGGTCAAAAACTCGCTCGTTTTATGAGAGACTTTAATTCATCCCGAATTGCATCTTTCCACTTAGGCCAATCATCTCTATGTCGACATTCTTCAATGGATTTAGGCTCGGGATCCTTATTCAAGATATCAATTGCCACATTATATGCAAAGATGTTATCAATGAATGTTTCTTTTCGGTCCCATACTCTCCTTGTGTTAACATAATTTATCGAAATTTTTTGATTTTTCTCAAGCATTTGGGCTTCTTCCGGAAGCTTGTTATCAAAAACATCTTGGATCGTTTTATCTCGTCTCTTTTATATTTTCATCTTGATTATTTTTCCTTTTTTTCTTTCGGGGATTTTTATCTTTAGAACCGATCGGTCTTCCACGCTTCGGACGTGCTTTAGATTCATTTGTTATAACATTAATAGGTTGTCATACTAGGACATCAATTTTAATAGGAGCATTCTCAGCAGGAACATGTGATTTAGTTACTCTTTTTGGATTAGAGAATGCATCCGGCGGTTGGTTTGTAAGACTTTATAAATGAATTATCCTCTCGAACTTCAAGTTCACATTGTTTTATACGGGGATCAAGATGATATAAAGATGAAGTATTCCATGTAATTTCTTTTTTCAACATTTCTAATCGCTTATTCTGTTTATTTTCTCCTCCTAATGTTGGAAAAATTGTTTCATCAAAATGACAATCGGTAAAATGAGCCGTAAAAACATCCCCCGTTAATGGTTCAAGATATTTAATTATAGAAGGAGATTCATATCCAACATATATTCCCAATCTCCTCCGAAGACCCATTTTAGTTCGTTGTGGAGGAGTAATTGGGACATATACTCGCAAATCCAAAAATCCTCAAATGAGAAATATTAGGCTCATGACGAGAAACCAATTGAAGGGGAGATAATTTTTAATAACTTGTAGGCTCGATGCGAATAAGTGTTGCTGCATGTAAAATTGCATGTCCCCAAACATAAACATGAAGTTTTATTTTCATAAGTAATGGTCTAGCTATCAATTGGAGGTTTTTGATAAATGATTCCGCTAGACCATTTTAAGTATGAACATGAGCAACATGTCGTTCAACTCTTATTCCAATAGACATGCAATAATCATTAAAAGCTCTGAGATGTAAATTCATCGACATTACCAAGGCGAATTGTTTTAATGGTATAATCTAGAAATTATGCTCGTAATCGAATTATTTGAGCAAGTAACCTTGAAAACGTCATGTTTCGAGTTGATAATAAACATACATATGACCATCTTATAGATGCATCTATTAAAACCATAAAATATCTAAATGGTCCACATGGTGGATGAATTAGTCCACATATATCACCTTGTATACGTTCTAAAAATGCTCGGAGAGTCAATCTCAATTTTATTTGGTAAAGGCTTAATAATAAGTTTGCCTCGAGAACACGCAAAACATGAAAACTCATTAGATTGAAGAATCTTTTGGTTCTTCAATGGATGTCCATACGAATTTTCAATAATTTTTTGCATCATAATGAATCCAGGATGACCCAATCGATCATGCCACAAAATAAAAGGATTAGTAAACTTCGATTTACTATGGTATTTGTTTCAATCATTTGAATATTTGTATAATAAATGCCGAAGAGAAAGCGAGTAATTTCTCCAATATATATTTTCTACTCGATTTAATTTTTATAATATATAAGTACTCAATATTCTCGACATTTGTTGTCTCAATATGATATCTACCTAAACGAATATCTTTAAAACTCAATAAATTTATATGGGACTTCGGAGAGAATAATGCATCATCTATAATCAAATTTGTTCCTTCGGGTAGTAATATATTTGCTCTTCCGGAGCCATTAATTAAATCAACACTACCGGATATAGTGTTAACATTAGCCTTGCCCATCGTTAAATGGAAAAATACCTTTTATTTTTAAGTATAGTACGTGTGGTTGCACTATCCACGAGGCATAGATTCTCCTTTATGACGTTTAAACCAATTACAAACTTGGTAATATCAATATATTCTTCATAAACACAAAAACAAACAAATAAATAAAAATGAAAACTAATATGATGAAATAAAAATAAAACATAAAACTTCTTTATTTATCAAAAGGTAACAAAATTTCAAACAATTATCATTAACCTAATAATTTTTTCTTTCGGAATCTTTAAAGAAATCAGCGAACATCTAAATGTGTTAAGTTACCTGAAATCTTCGAGAGGAACATTGTCATAAACATTATTTTGATATATAAAATTTGCCTCTATATCACTTTCTTTCTTTTTCAATGAGGCTTGATAAATCTCAACTAGGTGTTTTGGCGTACGACGTGTATGCGACCAATGTCCCTTTATACCACATATATAACATTTATTTTCGGAGTGTCGACTTGATCCACCTTTATTCTTTTCTTGTTTCTTTTCATAATTTATCCACTTACGGGGATGAGGTGTATTATTACCACCACGATTATAACGATAATTATTCCGACTATGACTATTGCCACGACCATGTCCACGCCCAAAATTATTATAAGATGTCACATTCACTTCGGGGAATGGAGTAGATCCGATTGGGCGGGATTCATGATTTTTCATCGGTAGCTCGTTATTTTGTTCAGCCACAAGTAGGCATGAAATCAATTCAAAGTATTTCTTAAAACCTTTTTCTCGATATTGTTGTCTGCAGGAGCATATTCGAGGCATGAAAAGTAGAGAATGTTTTCTCTAACATATCGAAATCGGTAATATTTTCTCCACATAATTTTAGTTGGGAACTGATTCTAAATACTGCAGAATTATACTCACTTATGGTTTTAAAATCTTGTAACCTTAAGTGCATCCAATCATAACGAGCTTTTGGAAGAATTACCGTCTTTTGGTGGTTGTATCTTTCCTTTAAATTTTTTCATAGTTCGAGTGGATCTTTCACTCGTTAAATATTCAGTTTTTAAATCTTCATGGAGATGATGACGAAGGAAGATCATTGCCTTAGCACGATTTTGCAAGGATTCTTGATTATCATCCATGATTGTTTGTCCAAGGCCATTAGCATTTAAATGTATCTCAAGCATCAAGTACCCATGATAAATAATCCTTGCCCGAAATGTCAAGGGCCACAAAATCAAGCTTTGTGAGGTTTGACATGATAAAAATTCTATAATACAAGATATAATAATGATGTTAGAAAATAAAAATAAACATAATAATAATATTCAAACTTCTCAAAACAACATGCATTAGATTATTAGAATATATATTAGATTATTCAAGTTTTCAAATACATATTATATGTACTATTAGATTTAAAATAAAAGATAGATTAGGTACATATCTCTTAATATGCTAGATGATTTGCGTCGTTTGGTAGAACAATCATGCCGATAACGTGTTGTGAAAAAATAAAAGATATATAAGAATTTAAAGGAAGGATGGCAAGAAGAAAAATTCACCATAAAGTGAATACAAGTGAGAAAACTTCAAGTTGTTCTTTTAATCTCTCTAAAAACTTGTACATCAACAAATGAACAATCAAGCGTATTTATAGGCCTCAAAATTGAAATGAGAATTGGAAGAGACTATGAATAATTAAAAGTACATCAATTGCATCATTCTTTCAATTTCTCAAATTGAATGGTGAATTGAATTACATTTAGGTTCATAAGTAATGAGAATATGAAAAATAGATGGACATTTATATAGACATTCATTATTTTATAACAAAAATATCTTTATCATGAATTTTTTTTTTAAAAAAACGAAGTTCGAATAATGAAAGGTTTTCGAAAGCTTGTGGGTGTTTCTGTAGGTTCTGTCTATCTCGTCTATCTGTCTATCTCTTGTGTTAACTTCTTTCGCTATCTTGAATGACTTTTAAGCTGTAGATAATAGTCTTATCTAAATGTAAACAAAATAAGAAATTCATTTCAAAGCTACTTTCTAGTATAGAAAGCCCAAAAAAAAAAAAAAACAAAGGAAATTTAATGGGTGACTTAAAACAGGCAGTCTAATCGTTTTGTCGATCATTATTCGCATTGAATTGATGGTGTTTAAATCATTCAAAAGTTCATAGAAATTCAAAATCATAAAGGACGCACAAACAGAACGCTAAAACGTACAACCCCAACCAACAACAGTATCGATCAAAGAAGAAGGTGGGCATCAAAACAAGTGAAGAGATCAAGATCAAGAATGAAGCCAGCAGTTTCGGGAACACCAGAGTTCGAGCCAAAAGTGGAGATTCCCCGGATTATAAACCTCGATGATCATTATTATGATGAGTTTCTTCCCATAACCTTTTCAAACAAAGGCACCACGGAGAATGATGCAATCACTGTTGAACAGTACAGTGAAGATCGAGACCTTAATACTGCTATTATGGTCTCTCTCAAATCCAACAAAGAAGCAAAGTCAAAAGTGGAGAAACCTCATATTGTAAACCTTGATGATTATCATCGCATACCCTTATCAAACAAAGGCAGTACAGAGAATAATGCGATCTTTGTTGAAGAGTACAGTGAAGATAGAGACCTCAATATTGCTATCATGGCTTCTCTTAACTCCAATTCTGTTGATCACTCTCAAGAGTATTTCTACTACTATGATGAAGTTGATGATGATGTAAAGGTACTTGATTTTATGCCTCAAGTCACTCCTTCTAGGAAACAAAAAGAACCCGCTTTTGGAGATTCAGTCACTGAAAATGGTCAATCTTCGAAGTCTCCAATTGACCCAGATTTTGTATGTGAAATCTGTGTTGAACCCACGACTTTGAAGAAGTTATTTTCGATCAAGGGTTGCACTCACGCTTACTGTACTGACTGCATGGTCAAGTATGTGGCCTCAAAGTTGGAGGAAAACATAAGTAAAATTTGTTGCCCTGTGCCAGATTGTAAAGCCGTATTAGAGCCTGAGGGTTGCCGTTCAATTTTACCAGAAGATGTGTTCGATAGATGGGGTAATGCTTTGTGCGAGGCTCTGATTCTTGGGTCTCATAAGTTTTATTGTCCTTTCAAGGATTGCTCTGCAATGTTGATTGATGAGGGAGGGGAGGTTATAAGGGAATCTGAGTGTCCTAATTGTAGGAGAATGTTCTGTGCCCAGTGTAAGGTTCCTTGGCATTCACAGATCAGCTGCGAAGAGTTTAAGAGGCTGCATAAGGATGAGAGAGAAAGGGATGATATACTGTTGATGAATCTAGCCAAGAACAAGAACTGGAGGAGGTGCCCAAAATGCAAGATCTTTGTTGAGAGGATAACAGGTTGCAGATTTATGAAATGCAGGTATGTTTCATTCAAAAGGAATTATGAGTTTTGGTGATTGATGCTTGATTGTTTGGCTAACATAATTTTATTGTTAAATGCTTCTTTATCTTTTACTTGTAGTTACAACTGAGAATTGTGTGGTTAATAGTGAGGGATAGAATTAATAAAAAAATAAAAAATTGCTGATTGTCTTACTAGCTTGCTTTCATTATTGTTGGGCTTATGATGTGTATTTTGTCTTGCATTTGTAGTTACTATTGAGAATTCTTTGTGATTATTCTAGCAATGAGGGGTTAGAGTTAGTAAGACAATTCTTAAAGGAGGTTTTCCCTTAGATTTATTCTGTAGTTCAACTGATACATATGGATGGGATCCTTTGCATGTACCCGGGTAAATTCTCACATTATCGATGGGATCCTCTCAAAAAGGAAGAAAGTGACATTGATTAGAGGTTTTCTTATTAGGTTAAGCAGTGTCCCCTTTCTGTTGTTGTTGAGTCAAGCATATGTTTTATATTTCATTGCTTTGCATCTGTTTGCACTTACAAAATTACAATATTATTGGGTGACTGTGCGTCCTGGGCTATTTGTTATGTTCTGTTGTTTGACATTCTAAATTCAACACATGCACTTGTGAGAGATTAAGCTATGACCTGCATCAAATATTCCCCTACTGCCTGTGAATGTTGGGGACCATGACGGCCATGTAGATCATAATCATAGATACCATTTGACCGAAAATGTCCAGTAGAGTAGAACAGGTTGATTACGCACTTCCATATATATATCATACTCATGCTTTTATAACTCTAAACATCATAACGAGTGCTCCACCAATTAACAGTATACAAATTACCTAGATATAGTAATTCTTGAGTATTAGAGTATTGAAACTTTTCTGAATTATATTTAAATGGATAGGACATTTTATTAAATTTTTAATGTTCAAAGCCACTTTATTCCTTGTTTCTGAAAAACAAGCCATGAAATGTACATCAGGTAGGGGATTTGTACAGGCTAGATAATTGGGCAATTAAAAGAACTAATTGATCCAACATTAAGGAAAAAAATGCTAATAGAATGTACATCATTTTCATGGGGGGTGGACATTTATATGTAGCATTTTTTTTTCCAGTAATAGCTTGCAATCTGAATGTTATGTAGATGTCTTAAATTGACATGGATCTAAATTGAAGCACTTGGAAAGAAACTTCTTTAACACCGAATATGAAGATGGCCTTTAAAAGCTCTTGCTATGCTGCTTGGTTGCAAATTTGCAATTGTTGGTTGCCTAGTTCTTTTATAGGATTGTTTTACTCTGTTCCAAAATGTTAATGATGAAGAATTGCTCATGTCTAAGAAATTGAGTCGTGGTCTCACCTCTTGGAGGAACTAGTCAGATAGGAATTCTGCTTCATCAAATTATTCCATTTTTAAAGTCAGATGCACAGTAATAGATACCTTTTAAGTTTCCAGCTTCTAATTAGGTTTAATGTGAGGCAACTGTTTAATGAAAGACATATATGTTTTGGTGTGAGTTTTCTTTGTGGTTTACATTTTAAGTTGTTACAAAAGGTGCCTCATACAAATATTAGAAACATCTGAATATGGAATGTCTTGATCTAACCTCAGGGTTGGCATTACCATCTTAAACGTGGATGGATACAGAAATATTGTCTCATAACATGATCAAAATTCTTGTTGTCCATTTTAAGGATTTAAGAGTACACTTATTTATTTGCTAGCAACAATATGAATAAACACAGAAAATAAAAGGGTTTTAACTACAACTCAGTTCCCATATTTAAACACCATCTCAGTTTAGATTTCAGAGTCAACAATCTTATAATTCAATTCCTACTAGCATTAACATTTTCAATTCCCTCCACTTTTTCTTGATTTTTTCCTTGGTCGTCACTTGATGGGGCTAAATTTTAATTTGATTTAATTTTTCTTTCTTTTTTCAGAATATTGATTAAACTAGTTATATGATCATAATGTGCTTCAGCAGGAAACATATCCGTGCTAGTTGTTTCCAGTGTCTGCCTGTTATAGCTAAAACTTTTGTTCTATTTTGGCCTTTTTTGTTTTTAGTATGACTGTCCTGTCTCAGAAATTTCCCAGTTTACACCATGGTTGAACAATTGTAACTTTTCTGGCATGGCTAACCTTTTTATATCTCTTGACTCTTTGTGACCCTCTACTAGTTTAGAAAGAAGTATTAGCTATGGCTAGCCTTTTTAATCTCTTTTTTCTCTTCCTATATGATATGACTTTGTGAAACATGATTCCTACTTTCTAAATTTAGAGAAGAGGAATTCGCCTTGTCATGAATGAATTTTGAATTCTTTTTGTTTTATGTAGAATGGTTAAAACCATTTTAGTTGGTTCAGGGCCCTGACTCTTTTCTCACTTTTGGATTAATGATAGGTGTGGAACTCATTTCTGTTACGGCTGTGGATCTACTGATTTAAATCCAATTACACACTATTGTAATAAATGTAAGGGAATTTGGTAGAGAGAGACTAATAGAAAGACAGAGAGTTTTTGTTTAAGATTGTGAGCTCTTCTAGGAGCTGGTTTACAAGTCATGATTTGTAGTGAACCCAAAATTCAAATATGAAGGCTGTATTATACAGTGATGTTTGTTTGTTTTTAGAATGATTAAACTAGTTGTATGAACATAACGTGCCTCAGAAGGAATCATATCTCTGTTAACAGTATGCAATTTCAGCATGTTACAGCTACAACTTATATTTTTATTTTGGCATTAGCCTGGTGCATTTATCCAGTTTTCTTGCACAAATGTAGCTTTCCATGCAAGGTTCTGAACTTTTTGAAGTACGATTAGCCTTTTGTTCCTCCAGTCAACTGTGTGTATGAGAGAATTCGTACGACACGTTGCAGAGATGATCCTTAGAGGAGTATTGAAATTTGAATTCTTTACTGTTTGATCAAAGTGATTTGACTAGTTAATAAAAACCATTTCATTTGGTTCCCTTCTCTTAACGTTTTTAAACTGATAATAGGCGTGGAACTCATTTCTGCTACGGCTGTGGATCTACTGCGATAGATGTACTATCACATTATTGTGATAGTTGCAAGGCTTAATGTTTCATAGAAATGTTTTCGAGCTACGTCACTTTTATCCCGTTTCTCAAGGGAAATATGTAAAATTCCATAAAAGGTTCTGTGTTTCCAACCAAAGCTATTACATAGTGCTTGGTTTCTGTTACGAGGAAAAGACGAGACGGAGCAAGGTTTGAAAGTGATATACTGTGTATATATATATATATTTTTAATCCATGTACTGTCTTGTTTTTTTATTAACATATTTGGAACATTTGAAAAACAATATTCTTTTTCATTTCACTAGAATGACTTTTTAGATTATTTTACAACGGGATTTTAGTTTTTTACAGTCTCATTCATCTCTTGCAGTTATTCAGGAACCAAGTTTTGAAACTGAACAATGAACGTTTACGTCGTACGCCACGCAACAGGAATTTTAACTTAAAAGAGATACGGATCGATGAGCTCAACTCTTCGTTCCTACCTAATTAATCAATTAGTTAAACCGTACTTTAATGCCATATTTAGTCCCTTTACTATTGTTGTTTTGTCAATTTTGACCTTGTGGTTCCAAAAAAAAAACGAATCTAATTGTTGAGATACTCAAATTAAAATTAGCAACGTATGAGTGCCTTTGTAAAGAGTTTTGATAACAAAATTTGAGATACCATATAATTAAAAAGAAAAAAAAAAGAATGTAGAGAATTTCTTTTGCATAGCTAGCTTGGAAAGAAGAATGGGTTGATTTTATTTTGTCCCCTGAATTATATGGGTTTAATCAATTTTTTTTTAATCAACCACGTCCATGATGTTTCACTATTTATTAATGTTTTCTTTCCATCTACTTTTGCTAGGAAAACTAACGGAAAATGCCTATTTATTTTATAAATTTCAATTTCTCCTTTCAAAACTATAGATAGTTTTTCAATTAACTCTAAAAAAATCTTGTTCACGTTATTCATTTTTATATCCATATAAAAAATTGATTTGAAGGGAAATTCACTTAAAACAAGAGCACCAAAAATATAATAACTGTGAAATTTAATAATAAAAAATACAAAGCCAAATTCACTAAAATATTTTAATCAATAAATTCATAAAATAATAATAAATAAAATCCAAATGCACTTTAAATCGAATTAATAAAAAAAAAATACAATAATTTGAAAATGCTTTATTGTTGTTGTTGTTGTTGTTATAACGCAAGTAAATCCATAGCACCAAACTTCCCATGAAGGATACAAGATGAGAGAGCACAAGACCTAGATATATGCCAGCTTTATAGATTGAAGAGGAAAAGAAAAAATAATTTAATTCTCAAATTCGCATACTTAGCATGTTGATTTTTTTTTAATCTTTTTTTTTACATGAATTAAATATAAATAAATAAATAAAAAGATTATTGGATTTTAAGTGAAATTGGAGGGTATTTAATGATTTAATGGTTGATTTAAAAAAAAAAAGTGAATTTTGTTTTATAATTTTTTTATTGATTAAAATTCATAGAGTAAATTACCATAACCCCCTAGGTATCATGCAATTACAATGACTATCTAAAAAATTTAAAAATATTATTAAAAAAAAACTTTATTTTGTACCACAACGCTCTTAACATTAGGATGGTAATTGTAATTTCATGATGCCTCAAGAAATTTTTTTTAATTTATCCAAATTCATATTAATTGCATTTTCCATCATTTTACTTATTTTTGTTGTGAAATTGATTTTAAATAAAAAATTGTTTTTACCTATACACACACTAGATAAAGGATCAGATTATAAATGTGAAATAAGAATAACTGAAAATTGTGATTAATTGATAACTAAAATATAAATTAATTAAAATGCAATGTAATATGTGACATTAATAAAACAAATGTAAATAAAACTATGTAATTAAAACATAAAATAGATAGCAGAGGTGGCCACAATTAAAGCAATATAAATAAAATTAAACTCACGACAAAACCAGCCATAGATTAAT